TCGAGGTTTATGATAGTTGCCGTTACGTGCTCGTTGAACAGGATCATCTGGTCCCTTATCCATCATTGATTTTGCTACTTCAAACGGACTCTAAAGCATCCATATGCGCAACATCACACCTGCATACTAGTGGTCAACCACGATCTTCAGTCAATGCCCAACCTACCTGCAATGCAATGCGCGTCAATCCGCATCCTCTTTACTGCATCAACCACATATTGAAAAGGTGTGAGTGAGTGGATATTGTGTGTCTGTACTACGCATCCACGTGCTAACCCTCTGCATGAAGGCGCGCCGCCTCGCGCGCATCACAAAATAAAAAACGAAAATCAAGACCTTGGAACCAAAGCCAAACCACCTGCCGTATGCGTCACGTTACGCGTTTCTACCTTCCATCTGCGCAAACTAGAATCTGCCATATTCTCACCGGATATGTGACCGGCTGGCAATGCTGTCTCCAGACATGCTAGTGCCTTTTCCACACCGCAAAAACGAATTTGATATAGAACGGCGACGGCGGCGGTAAATTGACTAAGCGATCTCCAAACCCTTCAATCTGTCCCACCCCCAAAACAAAACAACCCGCCCGCATAATCAGGTTAAAACGCCTCCAACGTCCAAGTAATCCTAATCAGGGTACGAATTCCGCAAAAGAACCACGACCTGCGTCTTGCATCCTGCAACCTTGGAGCATGCTCATCTTGCATCATATCTCTAGTTTAATCAAAAACTTTGGTTGACTAGCACGTCTGACAGGAGCGCAGCACTTGTTCCTGGTGGTGGTTGCGCTGCCCCGGCGCTAATTGCCGCCTCCCGAGGTCGTCCGACGGCTCGTCGAAAAAACGTAACGGAGGCTTCCGGTGAAGAAGCCGCTTGTTCGATAGCCTGGACCCTGGCCTCAAAATTGACTCCTGTTTGAAGAACTGCGATGACGGCTTTCTTGGCTTTTTTGCTAATGACTATCCACGTGCTAGGTATCTTGACATGCCGCCCTCCGGAACGTGACGTCGCGTCGATACCACCGAAATGGGGCTTGCCTGTGGTTACACACTACTACAAACTAGGTGTGTACGGTGAAGCAAGTCGTACGAGTTTTGCGATCATGCTCCCACAATTTTGCTTGGACAGCGCAGATCGATAATTCCGAGGTTCGGGAATCATACGTGGACTACCCATTATCCCGAAGAGCTCCAAAGATTAGAATGGGTCGCGCGCATTGCTGCGTCGATCATTTTGGGGTAAGAATAGTCGGCATAATCTCGTTGCAATTGGGTTTCTTGCTCTCGCGTATCTGCATGAAGCAGGGACCTGTGTTCTCCAAAAAAAATCTGCAAGTCTACCTGCCTGTCTCCAATTAATTCCTTCGCGCATTACGCAAATACAGCGTCGATCCTGTCTTCGGCGTATTAGTACTATGGAGCAGTGTCCAAATGCTTTCCAGGCTGCCCGTCGGACCTTTCTCCACCTCGCCGTTGACTTTGCAATCATCTGATGAAACTACGGTGGACTGCAACACGACACGGGAACGGAGTAAGGTTTGATACGGTGAAGCGTTGCGTTGGGCAGCAGCGAGCCTATCTTTTGTGCTGAATGCTGGGAAATTAGCGAAAAAAGGCGTTATTGAGACGCTGCGGAGAGGACTCCGTCGCGTGAACGCGTGACGATGGCGTTGGGCGTTCGGGACAAGGTTACGACACCTCGCTTTCCTTCGGCAATGCAAGTTCCTGTTCAAGTTCGTGGTGCACATCATCACATCATGCCTGAGGCCATACTCGTCACCTGTTCTAGCTCCGAGCGAATGTGATATCGCATTTGAACGCGAATCCGATGTCTATTGTTGGAGATCACGATGCTATGATGGTGTCGGTTGTCGATTCCGACCCAACGCTAGGCTGGACTCGATAGCTGTATAGCTCGATTTGATGGTTCAGCACGTGCTTTCGTGTTTGCTTCTTCGTAACCCTGATATATGTTCGCGAGTAAGGCTGCAAAATCGCGCTCGCTTCGCGCTCATGAGCGAACACAGCAAAGGATTTCCTGCACGCCAACACCAATCGATAAAATTTCTCATAAAGTTCACCGGTTATTCACATGATGTTGCCCAGGTACGTATGCTGTAAGCATTATGGAAGGACAGGCGGAGGACATCCCCGCAGATCTCATAGACCCCGGAACATGATCTTCATTCACTGCTAACGTCGCATTCGTGTTGCGAATCGATAGCGACTTTCTCTGACGTTCGACGATGACTAGACTACCATGTTGGGCGAAAGAGAAGGTGCATGACACACCATGGAGGTCGACATTAACCAAAGTTGAGAAAGTGAGGCGCCCAGAGCGGTAAACTCTCCAAAGCTGCGTCTAGCAGTATGACAAAGGTCATAGTCAGCAAATTCACTGCCCGCCTTTCACAGCAGAGTCCACATTCGGGCCATCACCCCAGATGCTGCCTGCAGCAACGACACCGGTCGTCGAATCGCATCCCACGCACGCGAAACGTTGACAGCAAAAGTAACACAAACCGTGCTGTGATTACCGTTGGCTTCCATCTTCGCCAATCGAACGCATGCTCCCTCACCGATTAGACAGGCGTCGCATCGGCTAGAGGCAGCTCCCACAGGAAAAGCCGCAATGCAGCTGTAGCCGAGATTGTAACGGTATACCCCGCAATGGTACATGCCTCTGCAAACGCAAGATTCGCCTTATGCATCTATTATTATTAACATTGTCTCAGCTTGTATGCAGCATATCGGTGTGCGTCGAGGATGAGCATGCAAGATAGGGCCCTTGGCTCCGGTACTTATCGGTGGCTGTTTATCGCACGCAACTAGGAGACATTCTCCGGAATACCGTTCTGGTCACGATTGCCGGTAAGCAGCTAGGGTCTGGGGTGCATTGCAGAATCCCTGGCAGGAGGGGAGGGGTCAGGAACCCCAACGTCGAGAGTCACCTACAGTGGAGCCTTGTACTGCCGGAGAGATTTGGAGGTACCCTGGAATGTTCTGAGCGCCTTCTGTACGCGTCTCATGGAGCGTGCAATCCGTGCAATCTCGGTCGTGATCTCGGTCGTGATCTCCCCGACTCGGTTCGACTTTCTTTCAAGACGAGCATGTGCACTATCGAGCCGCTTCTCAGCGGCTGTCGGTTCCAATTCGGTGACAACTCTGTTCCGGCACGTATCGCAACGAGCCCCAAAACGGAATGAGTTCGCAAGCGAACGGCTGATACAACTCGGCCCTTTCAGAAAACACGCGGTTTCTCTGTGACAAGAGATCCGAGAGATTTGTCGTGCATGGTGTTGGAGAGCACCATGTCAGTACATGTGGCATGATGAGACGGTACGGAGTCCACTTCCAGTTCAATCAGAGAGGTAGCTGTACCTTGTCAGCTATTAGCCTCATTTGCTCCAATAGAGCTTGTCCATGTCTCCAAGAGTTGCTTTGTACCTCCAAAGGTATTATTGTGGAGTAGTCCGGCTTGCTGTTCGCGGTTCACGATACACCAAGTCGGACCCCTCTGCGGTCCCGAAAATGTCAGACCGCAACTTCGGGGCCTTGGAAGCCACGGTATGCCTGTATCAGACATGCACAATGAATGTGCTCAAGATTCTCCACATAACGAGACATCAGGTCCTTCTCAAGGTGTTCGAAAGAGCGCAGGGTCCTTGTGGGGCCCTCGGAATGGCGACCTCTCTCGAGCGCAATCGATCGCTCGATGCTGCGCATCGACTCGTAAGCAATCATAACTGCTCGCTTGTGCGGAGAGACCGTATTGTGAACATCTACAGCTTGAGTTCTGACCAGGTCATTGCCGCGGTTGGTGAGCCGTGCGAAGAGCGACATGGGAGTTTGCTGCCCAACAGAGGATGAAGGCCTGAAACCGGACCGCAAATGACAGAGTACGACCGAAATGCCACTGCACGCCGCGACCGTTGTGCACATCATCAGCAAGTCATTCAAAGGTCAGGGTTAAGGGACTTTGACTTCGACGATGCCCAACGCAAGCGAGTAGAGTAACACGGAGCGCATTGCGAAGTATCAGGCCAGGATCCTCACGCGTTTGATAGACCGTTGCAATGGAAGCGAAGCTGAGTGGCGCGGCTGGCAATGTCATGCAGCAACGAAGCTGGAGAGCGTTAGTAGATGACCCACAGGAGTATTCATGGAAAAGCTTGACTGGATGTCCATTACGCGGAAATGTAAATTTTCATCGAACAACCGCTACGACTTTGAGTGTAGCTGCCATCAGTCCAGATCAATACGTTGGAGCTTCGCAGATTTGACTGAGGTTTCTGTATAGAGGTGTAAAAATGTTTTAAACCCTTGCGTGTTCGTATGATCGTGTTTGTAAACCGAGAATTGTGGTCAACAATCATTCGCAATGTCTGGAAATATCACAGGGAGACGAGTCCGCGAGATGTCGATGCTGTAACAGAGCAGCATCCAAAGGAGGAACGATTGCACAAATTGGTCATCTCCTGGGGCAGCTCCTTACCTTCTTCTGCTGTCTACTTTTCCATCACATCCAATCGCTACTTCCTCTATGTCGTCTTCATGCTTTTTCTTTCTCTCAATTGCATTGTCATGAGTTTGTTCTTCACCCCAGCCAAGTTGATCAAGTCAGTAGAGAAGAAGACTTCAAGTACGTTTGGCTTGCTCTCAAACTTTCACTTCTACTTTCCAGATATAGGACTCAATAGGCGCGATACATATCCAACACATGGCAGTCCGGGGAAGCAGGAACGCGATGTGGTTCTGTGCGACTGTGACTCCCACGAGCCATGACTACCTATCGACTTGCTTACAAGCACGGGACGCCATACTATGAGTATCGTGTGCTACCATGAACCTGCGCGAAGAGTTCTTAATCTTTCGCAAATGTACCTGACGTAGACTACCAATATCTTTCCTCCACTGATCATGGCACGATAATTGTTTGCATTGTGTAGAGAAGTATCGTATTCTCTATCACAAAAGGCATGGAAAGAAGAAGGAGCAATCATGTACCGATACACTTCTGCTCCTCCTCCCTGCTCTTCAACATACCTTTCACCTTACCCCTATCCTCACAACCTCACAGCAAGATCATACGACACAACTTACATGTCCAGACCCTACTCATACACTGAACCACGTCGCTACAGTTCCTACTACGAAACATCGTGCTCACGACCAATTACATCCCACAGACCTGTGAAGACCAGTACCTGGAGATACGTTGGACCCGTACAAGCACCACAGCCGGACAGAACTCCTCGAAAGAGTAGCCTCAAGAAGACGGCGAGCAGGCACGTACATTTCGACCTACCGCCTGCTCAAGGCCGCTCGAGCAGGGCGATCAGGATAGCCGAGGAAGAAAGGCAGAGGGAGAGAGAACGCGCAAGGGTAAAGGAAAGGGAACGGGGACGGGATCAAGAAAGAGAGAGAGAAAGCAGATACTACATACCGCCCCGATTCACCACCTTACGACAACGTTCACCCTCGGAAAGAATGCCTAGAAAGCAGCACCACTCCTACACATCAACCTACGAATACGACTCCCAACTCCACCACCAAGAACGATACCGCCGCAGCACCTCACCTATACGCACCAGCCTACCCAGATCGCATTCGACATACACACGTGTGCCACCACAACACTACCAGCAGCCCTATTTCCACT